AGTCAACACGATTCAGAGAGATAAGAACCCAGAAGTCAACGCAATACAGCGAAGCGAAAAGGGGAGATCTACTGGCCGCAAACCTGAAACGGATCTTCTTTGCATGAACTGCGGATCGAGGACACACCGGACCAGAAGGTGCGAAAAGCCGACAAGTATGTGCAGCTACTGCAAGAAACGTGGGCACCTAGAGAAATACTGCCTGCGTAAGCTATTCGTCGACAATGCCAAGGACGTCCATCATGTCACCACCTCACAACCTGAACAGACCAAGGCCTACCGCATGGTAAAGATCAATGGAAAGGATATCAAAATGCGGCTGGATTGTGGGGCCGAAGTCACCCAGATTGATCGTGACATATGGATCAAGATTGGCCGGCCGAAACTACAGAAGCCAGAGCATAACCTGACTGCTGCCAATGCAACCAGCATTTTATGCCATGGACGGTGCACGTGCGAGTACGTGCTGAGTGGCATAGCCGTGAGAGGCACTGCATACGTCGTGGACGGACCAGCTCTACCCGGAATGGATTGGATCCGAACCGACAGCGCCCTCTACAATATGATCATCGGCTGTTACGATGTCAACGCAATAGCAGCTGTGAAAGATACACTGGATAAGGAAAGGACCCAGTTAACAACAATGTTACAGAGGAAGTTTGCGGAGGTTTTTCAGCCAGGACTAGGGCACTGCACGAAGATGGAGGCCGCACTCCTGCTCAAAGAAGATGCGATCAAGGCATTTCGCAAGGCCCATCCCGTACCGTATGCGGCCCTTCCCGCCGTCACCGGCGAACTAGAGCGACAAGTGAACCTGGGAGTCTTATCCCCGATAAGTCATTCCGAATGGGCTGCGCCGATTGTTTGCGTTAAAAAGGCCGACGGAAGAATTCGAATGTGCGCGGATTTTCCAACTGGATTGAATGACGTGCTGAAACCACACAAGTACCCGCTCCCAACACCTGAGGATGTCTTCACTAAACTGAACGGAGGACACATGCCAAACGACTACTTGTCATCAACACTCATAAAGGACTCTTCAACTACAATCGGTTACCATTTGGAGTCAAAACAGCGCCCAGCATTTTCCAGCAGCTGATGGATACCATGATTTCGGGTTTAACAGGAGTCGCTGCATATATGGACGACATCGTCATTACGGGATCCTCAGTCGATGAACACACGGAACATGTCGTTGCTGTTCTGCACCGCGTCAGGGATTATGGATTCCGACTCAGGATCGAGAAATGCGCCTTCCTACAACGCCGAATGAAGTATTTAGGTATGGTCATCGACGAAAACGGATGCAGACCGGATAAAAAGAAAATCCACGCAATTATGATGATGCCTCCCCCTCAGGAAGTATCACAAGTGCGGTCGTTTCTTGGGATGGTTAACCACTACGGAGGATTTGTTGCGGAATTGAAGGACATTCGCCCTCCGCTAGACAACCTGCTGCAGAAGAACGCCGAATTCGCTTGGACTGAGGAGTGCCAGAAGTCAATCGAACGAATCAAGGCTATTCTCGCATCCGACTTACTGCTGACGCACTACAATCCATCGCTGCCCATCGTAGTGGCCGCCGACGCGTCGAATCACGGCGTTGGAGCTGTTATCTCACATCGCTTTCCAGACGGCTCAGAGAAGGCCATATATCACGCCAGCCGCACTCTCAACGCCTCACAGAAGAACTACAGTCAAATCGAAAAGGAGGGTCTTGGACTAAACTTTGCTGTCACGAAATTTCACCGCTACATTTATGGTCGGCACTTTATGCTTTTGACCGATCACAAGCCTCTCCTCGCCATTTTTGGAAGCAAAACTGGAGTACCAATATATACTGCAAATCGATTACAGAGGTGGGCCACTCTGCTTTTAGGATACGACTTCGACATCCAGTACCGAAACACTGCGGATTTTGGGCAAGCGGAGGGATTGATCGCGGCCCATCCAAAGGAACATGAAGATGTCGTCATCGCAAGAGTGGACGCCGAGATGAGAATTGACATGTTGGATCACAGCCGTCAGCTACCACTTACCATTCGCGAAGTAGCTGCTGAGACTAAAGAAGACCTTTTCTTGCAGAAGATCAAGTCATTTGTGCTGAGGCAGTGGCCGAAAATCTCCCGCGACGCTCCAAAATGGCCGTTTTACAATCGACGGGACCTGCTCTCAATCTCCGAAGACTGCCTACTCATGGGGAACCGCCGCGTCATCCCCCGTGGTCTGCAACGGAGAGTCCTCAACAGTCTGCACGCTGCACATCCGGGGGCCATTCGTATGAAGATGCTCGCCCGCAGTCACGTTTATTGGCCATATATCGATCGAGATATCGAACTTCTCGTTCGTTCCTGCAGCAGCTGCGCTGCATCTTCGAAGAACCCAATTAAAACAGACCTACGTTCTTGGAAGGCCGCTACCAAACCGTGGAGCCGCATTCACATCGACTTCGCTGGACCAGTGGATGGACGCACCTACATAGTCGTGGTGGACGCCTTCTCAAAGTGGCCGGAAATTATTGAAATGCCCAACGTCACAACCGCAGGAACGATTCGGGAACTCAAGACACTGTTCAGCCGGTACGGAAATCCGGAGGTCGTCGTTTCCGACAAGGGCAGCCAATTCACATCAACCGAATTTCATGCATTCTGCGACTCTAGAGGCATCAAACACCTCCGGACACCTCCCTTCCATCCGCAGTCAAATGGGCAAGCCGAGAGATTTGTGGACACCTTCAAACGCGCGCTTACCAAATTGAAGAGGGAGAAGACGCCAGTCGACGCGCTGCAAACTTTCCTGATGAACTATAGAAGCTCACCGTGTCCGAATCTCGATGGCCGTTCCCCTGCTGAAATGTTCAATGGACACAGAATCCGCACAACTCTGGGCTTGCTACACCCGGCGGACCAGAAGAAAGGATCGCGAGACAGAAAAATGGAGGAGCAATTCAGCCATCACCATGGAACCACGGTAAGAACTTTTGTTCCGGGACAACCCGTTTATGTAAAGGACTACCGGCTCCCAATAAGGCTACTTGGTTTCCCGGAGTAATCTGCGAACGGTTCGGCGACGTCACCTACTCCGTGAAGGTTGACTATGGAACCTGGATCCGGCACGCTAATTAGATCAGACCACGGGCAACAACAGAACCCAGGAGCGAGGACTCTGAATCAAACCCTTCGCCGCCATCATCATCACCGCAAGCACACCCCGACGGATCAATAGCTCCAGTGCTCCCTGAACCACCTATTCACTCTACTCGAACCCGACGTCCTCCTTGTCGCCTCAGTATGGACCCCCGCGCCTCAGCCTATCACTATATCTGAAAAGGGAGGTGTTGTGCACTTGCACAGAAAATTTGATTGATCTGTTTCTTATCTTATCTTTGCTTATCATATCCCCATGTACTGTCTTATCTTATCACTACCGTTGTTGTCCTATCCTATCATTTTTAACCCGTGTCAACGGGTATATAAGACCATTGTTGTTCAATATTTGTTTTTGGATCTTGCTCTTCCGATAAAGGATTGCTACCATTTTATCAGCTCTGCCATGGATTCAACACTATAAATAGACAGCGGAGGAGAGTCGCGTCAGTTTATTCAGTTCTGCTATCATAGGATAGTGGACAGTGGCGGCCGCGGTAAGGCTTTGGCCATACTTTGCCCGTGTTGCAGGTGTTGAAAGTGTTGCCGGTGTTGAAAGTGTTGAAAGTGTTGCCGGTGTTGAAAGTGTTGAAAATGTTACCGGTGTTGAAAGTGTTGCCAGTGTTGAAAGTGTTGAAAGTGTTGCCGGTGTTGAAAGTGTTGAACGGAGATCATCAGTCTAGCAGCTTCATTCTTTCTCGAACGATCTCACCGGCTGGTGAATACGTTGGAAATGGAATTGGGGAATGAGAAATGAAATTGAAATAATGGGAGATTTTGCATGCAAAAGATCCTCTAACAAACTTTTTGGAAAGTGGACGGCTTGTCTGGAATAGGCAATCTCCAATATTTGAAAAAGCTGACGTCTGAGTAGTAATGTGCTTTAGTTCGAATCCTGCCGCGCTTGCGATTAGTAAGTAAACGACCTAAGTGAGGTCTGCAGCGTTTTCAAATACTGGAGATTGCCTATTCCAGACAAGCCGTCCACTTTCCAAAAAGTTTGTTAGAGGATCTTTTGCATACGAAAATCTCCCATTTCAATTTCATTTCTCATTCCCCAATTCCATTTCCAACGTATTCACCAACCGGTGAGATCGTTCGAGAAAGAATGAAACTGCTAGACTATGATCTCCGTTCAACACTTTCAAAACCGGCAACACTTTCAACTCTGGCAACACTGGCAACACTTTCAACACCGGTAACACTTTCAACACTTCCAACACTTTCAACACTTTCAACACCGGCAACACTTTCAACACCGGCAACACGGGCGAAGTATGGCCAAAGGCTAAGCTTTAACTGCTGCGGTTAAACTTTTGCTACAACGCTTTAAAGAAGGCGATACATCGTCGAAAAGCGTAAGCCATTTTGTTACTTTCTATACACTTGGTTAAGCTTGAATAACTTCAAACAAGGTGCAGATGTTTGAAGACATGATGATGCAAACGGGTGAGACACTTTTGTGTTGCGCTAGTACGAGAACACAGCCCAGCCAATAACGATTTTCTTTTCTCCTCCTTTCCTTCCTTGCTCGTTTGATTCCACTCGAGTTGTCGATTTTTTCTAGTCTAATATGGAACATGTGATTTTTCTGTTTCTTCCAACATCCTCAACACTCCTCTTCTTCTAACTTTGTTCAAACTTTGCGCAGATGCCATGTATTCCACAAAGTCATATTTTAGTTGCGCAAGTTGAGCGCATCGTTTCTGCGGGAGACAAGAACACTTGTTTAGAGCATTAGTCAAGCAACATGCTTTTATAAGCAACTCCAATGTTAGAAAACTTTGAGAGTAGAATATCGTCGCGTCAGTGCAACGGTGGCAGTTACGCACCACGAAATTTGCCTCCACTTACTCTAGGTAGCATGTCTTCTGATGAATAAGTGTAGCATTTCAAAGAAACGGCGATTTGGATATGTGCCAACAGGATTATCAGCCCTTAAGCATATAAATAAATCAACGGCTCTTGTAAAGTCTCACTCAGATCCTTTAACTAAAGGACGAGAGTGTAAAAAGGTTGATCTCTTGCAACATTGACACACCGTACATCGCCGTGCCGGGAGAAGCTCAAATGAAACAAACACACCAAAACAGCATACTCCATTCATAACATCCCAATCAAAACTTCACCACCTTATCATTCAAGCTTTCTTCTCAGGTACGGTAGACTCAGTCCATTACGTCTGTGTTTTTCTCATGTAGAAAATCAAAATCATTTAAATCATTCAAATGAAGTGATATTTTGACAATCACAAGCATATGCTCATCAAAGAGAATCCGTATAGAACACAGTAAATCTTGTATGTGTGATAACAAAATTGTGTAATAGAGCTGATAATAATGCAATAGAAGCGAAGAAGATTGGATGGTCATTTGGGGAGGAGTTGTAATCAAATATCTTTACCATAGCGCTATACCATGGTGAGCGGTTAACCCGCCAAGAAATTTTTTTCAATTATATATACGGCTCGCGCATTGTTAGCACAAGCATTCTTGAAAACGTTGTATCAACGTTACTTGTGGTCGATGAGATAGTAGAAAAATGAGTGACTACAGCAGAAAACTGCGCATCATATGAAGATTCTTTATTTTCTTGTATATAAAATCATTTTATAGCTTTTCGCTTTTCTCAGTTGCTTCTTCCCCCGTAGGAATTTATTGATTCGTTCCAGACCGATACAGTGGATTATACTGAAAGAAAAGTTTGATGTCCTCTGATATATCTTCCCCTCAACCCAATCTTTTTACGCAGCATTTACCTCTTACTCCTGGCATTAGCAGATAGCAGTAGCATAGCAAGAGAATAGAAACTTTTTTCGGCTTAGCCAACATTTTATTTATTCGATTTGCTGCGGCCAAAAGAATCAATTGAGGACGTCGACATGTGGGCAGTTGTAGGCTCAATGTTCACCTTCGCCGCTTGTCAAACATTGGAAATGTGACATAGCTTCGCGTTGAATTCATATTCTTTTGACTCGTTTCGACGAAAAACGAACAAAAGGAAATTCAACAATGCCAAATGGACTCCGTGAAAATTGTTGAGGCGCTGAAATGATGTGAAATTTATCTTTTGTTGAGAAAAACTGATATGATGCTTTTAAGAAGGATTTCTAAGACTGAAAGTCCATACAAGGTCATAGGGTCTCTCAGTGACTAGATAGCAGGTATTGAATTGATCATGACTCATAACAAAGGGCTAAGGGTTGTTCACAACTTTTTGTCCGTGTGTGTCTGTCCGTTACGAAATTCCTAGAGCGAGTTCCAGCCAATTTCTTGAGCCAAATTTTGCACGGCACATGCTAGCGGCACATTACGCAAAAGCACAAGCGAATCCGTTGGGCGGATCCTTTTGGAACTTGCGTATCAAGCGGATCCATGCTTCTTTTCACCAGCATAATTGGGTCGGTATAAAACCTTTTGCAAAGTCATGAGTATGTCTGACCTGCCAGCATGCAAAATTGCCTTTTGGCTGAAAAAAAAAACAACTACAAAGTTTATGCATATGCGAAAACGGCGCCAAAATTCCAGTTAATTGAATCTTCGATTTTTTAGCGTTTTATTTTGGAAACCTGAAAAATTTTTGCCTATAAATGTAGACCACCACTGACAGTCTTTATGACGCCAGTATCAGTTCATTTGAAGCTTAGTAACTATTCTAAAAAGCATTTTTTGTTTATCTGGAACCGGTATGATCGTAGGGCTACGCCGGACTCTCATACTTTTTTCGTCTACATCACACTGACCGACTCAAATTACATGAATCTCAAACGTAAACAGAAAGTTTATTTGACACATCAGTACAAAAATTCTTGCGATTTCAATCATATCGATCGTCCAAAAACAAAAGCACAGAATTGGCACCGCGGTAATTGCAAGCTTACATGAGCTTTTACCAAAACATTCCAAAACGTTTCGATAGAAGTGTTAAGATTCTTTTTTGTTTATGTTGCAAAAAGCCTGAGCAATTCTTTTCTAAGACATTATTTTAACACTGCAATGCTGACTCTGCACTTCAAATTAAATTGGCCCTTCTTCAAAGCACTCGAACATGTTATAATCCATTTATGCTGCCTCTTCAAACCAAAAGTTGTCACCTGCAGCTTTGAAACATAGACATTGGCTTCTATATGATCATGCAAATCATTTACGAATAGACAGCACGATCTAGAAAGCAGAAAAGCATCGAATCGCACCTTTCCTCCTGAAAGGCATATGAGGGGATGGCAAACACACAGCTTTCCCCTCACTCGGCAGCTAAAAGCACTGCCTACCGCTTCTGTAACGATCTTTGGCTTTTCTCTGATTTTGCAAAATACCAACTTACGAATTTCTTTCACAAAACAGTGTGGGAGGAGACACACGAAACTTGATAAACTTGATCTCCTCCTTTGCTCGACGGCATGTGAGGGATGGCACACATATACCTGGCTTTTCCCTCACTCGGCAGCGAAAAGCTGCTACCTACCTAGGAGACACACAGAACTTGTGATGCTATAAAGTCCAGAACGAAATGAGACAGACAGATTTTTTTACACGCAATTTGAATATGGAGGCTTGAATTCTTTGAAATGTCCTCTTAAAAACAATTTAAAATTCAACTTTTCTGCACCAACTGGAATAAACAGTATGGCCCGTAGTAAAGCTCGATCAGTTCTGGTAAACCAAACTTAACCCATCAGTTGAGCTCACGTCAGGTAAACTGATGACCGCCTACTTTCCATGCTATAAGCATGGCAAGTGAACTGACAGTTGGCCATCCGTCCACCTGCTGCAGTCAAATGATGTTAGAGGATTGGAAATAGTGTGGAAAAGAGGAGACGCAGAGAAGACTTCCGTAAGTTGCTCCTGAGTAACTTACGACACACACCAATTTGCCTGACACTGCAGACAAAATCAACGCAAAACTACACAATAACGGAGCTCGAAAAAGAGAGAATCGAGGAACAGCTGTTTTTGGCGTGGAAAGGAAGAAAACAGATTCTTTTCTTTTTGTAAAGCTTGCTGACTTTTTTTCGAAAAGCTGCTCAAGACTAAAATTTACTAATCTAATTTACTGATTCTATTTTGCAACCATTTTATTTCTTCATGAATTTTTCGTCAGAAAATGTGTTTTTGTTTTATCCATGCATATGCTAGGCGAAATTCTTGATAGTGGTCATCATCGATTTTGCGATAGTGGTCGCTATCAAAGACGCTAGGAAGGGCCAAGCGTGTGATGCGACTGTCGCAACGGGGGTCGTGAAGGGGGCACAGGAGGTGGGGGGGGGGGGTCAAGAGAGGGTGGTCCGAATTAAAATAGTGTGGAAGTAGGAAATAAGCTTCTCAGTCGCAAACATTCTCTACTCTTCAAAAACAGCATTCTTCTCCCTGCAAAAAGGTGTCGCAGACGTAGATCGAACTTTCTGGCCACAAGTATGGCCAAAGATTCCAAAGACACTTTCAGAAGCTCAAACACTAGGCATGTATGTGTGACAAGAATGTCAAACGTACCAATTGGCCTAGAAATCCTGGTTCCAAAGCATCACTGAAGTCTCGCACTCTCAACAAAAGCGCTCATCTCTACCAGCGATGATCATCGATAATTTTGGAAACTTTTTGGTTATGTCTTTCAAGGGCTCTTACATTTATCTGTACTTTGAAGATGCGCCTAAAATTTTTGTGATAGGAAGAGGAGGATGGCCTCGTATCACAGCAAGATTGCAGCCAACAAGCTTCAACAGCTCCGGAGATATCTAGATGCGACCCAGATACAACCCTCCTTTTCTCATTTTTTGCTGCCATATATAAATTTAAATCTACAGGACGAATGATTTGTAAACAACTACTCATTTCCAAAGCTTTTTCATGTGAGATCGGTGATTTCGCGATGAAAGTTTTTGCAGAAGAAGAACGCAATTTGAATAGGTTTTCGATTTTTTCATGGTTTTGATCGTCGCCATATGAACAATAACAACCATGAGCTAGATTTTTGTGCAAAAATCTCGTCAAATGCTGTGGTAAAACCTGGGAAGATTGACCATTTATGCCACCAGTTCTTTTTGGCTTTTTCTTGTAAAGTAATAGGTTTTGGATCGCTTTTTTGGGCCAACGTTTATGGCTTACACAAATACTTGCCATACACATCCACGTTCTGCAAAAAGTGGAATTACGGACCCAGTTTTGCGGGCCAAAGGCAAATGGACCTGTTTGACGCGCAATTCCTGAGCAATTCACTCAAGGAATCTGGCCGTGCTTTTGTATAATGGACTTTCATATCGGTAACATGCGCTGTGCAAAATTTGGGCTCAGGAGTTTGGCTGGAACAGTTTTACGAATTTCTTGACAGACAGACAGACAGACTTACACACACACACACACACACACACACACACACACACACACACACACACACACACACACACACACACACACACACACACACACACACACACACACACACACACACACACAAACACGTAAACATCCATAGCCCGTTATTATAAGCAACCAGTGCGTCACCTCTGCTTCGCGCAGGCTTGCACTGGCCCTACTATCTGTACGACTTACTTATTTCCGCACAATACTGACATTGAAACACACCGCGCTATGCGGACTATCACGAATGATTTGTAATCAATTACTCATCCTCCAAATGAGATCGGTAATTTCGTGAATGAAACTGTTCCCAAAAGAAAAAGTGCAAATTTGAATTGATTTTTGGACTTTATGTCTTGGTATTCATTATAAGATGCAATAATCGCCGCGGGCTACATCTCCGTGCAAAAATCTCCTCAAATGATCGGATAAAATCTTGGCAAATTGAACATTTACGCGACCTATTCTTTTTAGCCCGTTCTGGCAAAGTAATGAACTTCAGCTCAATTTTTTAGGCCAGAATCCATAGCTTGCACATTAACTTGTCAGACGTAGCCGTGACTTTGCAAATAGTCGTGCTACAGGCTCAATTTTACTGGCCAAAAGCCAAGTGGATTCGATTGACGCGCATTTTTTGAGGGATCCACAAAACGGATCCGCTCGTGCTTTTGTATATTGGACTCTCATGTTGGTAGCATGCGCTGTGCAAAATTTTGGCTCAGTAGGTTGGCTGGGACACGTTCTAGGAATTTCGTGACAGACAGACAGACTTACACACACACAAAACAACGTAAACATCCTTAGCCCGTTATTATAAGTTACCAATGCTTCACCTCTGCTTCGCAGCGGCTCGCACTGGTCCTACTATCTGTATGCCTTACTCATTCTCGCACAATAATGACATTGGAACTCACCGCGCTATGCGGATTATCACGAATGATTTGTAAACAACTATTCATTCCAAAAGCTTTTCCGTATGAGATCGGTAATTTCGCATGAACGAAACTTTTCTCGAAAGAACAAATGCAAATTTGAATCGGTTTTTGGACTTTTCATGGCTTGATATTCGCAATAAGATGCCATAATCACCGTGGGCTACATATCTGTGCAAAATCTTCTCAAACAATCGGGTAAAATCTTGGCAAGTTGAATATCTACGCAACCAATACTTTTTTGGCGCCGTTTTCGCTAAGTATTAAACTTTAGTTCAATTCTTTAGGCTAAAGACCATGGCTTGCACATTAACTTGTCAAAAATATCCGTGAATTTGCAAAAAGTTGCGCTACAGACTCAATTTTACTGGCCAAAAGCCAAGTGGATCCGTTTAAAGCGCAGTTTTCGAGGGATCCACTCAACGGATCCGCTCGTGCTTTTGCATAGCGGACTTTCATGCTGGTAGCATACACTCTGCAAAATTTGAGCTCAGGACACTGGCTGAAACATGCTCTACGAATTTCATAACGGACAGACACACACACACACAAAAACACGTAAACAACCCTTAGCCCGTTATTATAAGTTATGATGGTAGCCTGCATAGCCCGGTAAGTTCAGTGTCATTATTACGTCAGAACGAGTAAGACATACAGAAGTAGGGCCAGTGCGAGCCTCTACGAAGCAGAGGTGACGCACTGGTAACTAAATAACACATTTATGTAGAAAAAAATCATGACTTATAGTACGCCGCTAATCTGCGTTTCTGAGGTTGGTCCGTACCAAATCATAGTGGGAAATGATTTACAAAAATCTGAGGCATGTGAGGATAAGGTTACGAAGGACTTCATTTTGAGAATTCGTTTAATCCAGTCAAGAAAATGATATACGAGACAAGTCATTAAAATTTAAGTATTATCTCCCACCGCAATGGCAGTGTGACGCACTGGTAGAATCATGTGCAGCAATATGTTCATGGATTAAAATTGTGATATCGAGCGGTCAAATGTATCAAAGTGAACAAATTTAATCTAATTGAAAGAACTTTCGACATATTGATGCATGACCTTTTTCAAGATTTTCAAAATTATTTCGCGATTCGTTTCAAGAAAAAGAGAGCCTCATCCCTCTCACACTTGGTCCGCCACTGCATGTAAGGCTGGGTTCATACTGATTCCCATGTTCCGGAACTGTTCCCGCACAGTCGCATTGTGCTGGAACTGTGGTGGAACTGTTCCGGAACTGTGCTGATGCGCTGCAGCCGCCCCACACGCGTTTGGAACGGCGGGAGTTGGAGAATTTTGGTCGTTTTCAACGGTTCTCCTTCCAGATTTCTCCCATATTGGCCTTATTCCTCTACCCCGCCTCTCTTTTTGATCAGCAGAATTTCACACTCGAAGCGGGTTTGAAGAATGAGCGCTTTTCTGCTCTGCGTATCTGACAAAATGTCTGTTCTAGCGCTTGTCCATTCTTGTCGTTTCTTTTTGCTCAAGTCTATTCCTTCGTTATAGGAGTTTCCGCTGCATATTCCGCAAGCATCTGTCTCGAACTAGGACATACGAACATTCTAAAAATGCGAAAATGGATACTTTGCTCTTGTTTTCTGATGAATTTCGTTTTTGGGCATTCTAAGCCCCTTTTTCTCTTCCATATCGTTGCTTCTCCGTTTTTTCTTCTACTCCTCTTCTCCTAGTGATGAGAAAAGTTGCGAACTTGAAGAGGAGTTAATGAGAGAACGCTGTTCTCTTCCATGTGCATCTTCCGGATAAGTAGAGAGGAAAACGTTCATTTCTCAACCTCGCTTCAAATTCACAGCTTTCCTCATCACAAGGAGAAGCGGGGTAGAGGATTAAGGCCAAAATGAGAAAAATCTGGAAGAAAAACCGTTGAACGGTCAAAATCCCTCAACTCCGTCGTTCAACACGCGTGCGGGGCGGTTGCAGCGCATGCAGCACAGTTCCGGAACAGTTCCAGCACACTGCGGGATGTGCGGGAACAGTTCCGGAATATGGAAATCAGTATGATCCCAGTGTAAGGTACATTTCTACAAATTAATGCTTCCAGTTTTATCAATAGTGTACCGACAATGAAAATAAAAAAATTTATCAGAGCTAAACACCAGAACACAATCAAATTTTTATCTAGCTGTACGTGGATACCTTATGAGGGCTTTCTCGTTCAAACTCTAACAATAGACAAGCAGGAATTTAGGATTTTGCGGAAAACATATGTATACTTAATTGATTTTACAGAAAAGTTTCATAGCTGTGCGGCGTTGATTGTCACAAACAGCACGGTGAAACTGGAATGAGAAAAGTGATTTATAAAGGTTTACTGATTAACTTACTAGTTCTGTATTTTATTGAATGTGCACTTTTTCTTCTTTCTGCTTTTGGAAAAATCATAGTCAAACATACCGGTGTCATCGTCTAAAAAATTCGATTATGCAACAAAAGTGCTTGCCTTTCTTATGCGCCCACTCGTCAAAGATTGCTTGCAATCATTTGTCCATTGCTAGTAGAAGACATAGGCAATTGGATTTTTATTTTTAGTTAACGAATTGCTGGATTTTGAGCTCTATCGTATGATGCGCCGTAAGATTGACAATGATTATGATTATGTGGCATGCGCGTAAAGTTCTTGTTAATGAAAGTACATTTTTCGGAGGAAAAGAGTGATAGACCTAAAAATTTTTACTTGAAATACTTTAAAAGGGGTACCAAAAATAAGCTGTCAACACGAGCAGTCGCTCAGGCTTTTCTCTCTATAGAGTGTTTTTATACAGTCTGAAATTTTCGTGCCCACCTGTTCTGACTTTTTGTAGGTAAAATTCATACTTATTCCAAAACGTTTTCGTGTCCACAAAACTTGAAAGTCTCAAATTCTACAATGGTATAGGATAATGTCACGGGGCTTGGAGGCGAGAAAGATGGTCTTGTTTTTGCTGAGGGCTTTCAAAAAAACGGCACAGCTGGATCTGCCCTTTCTTACGCATATCCCCTTCAGCAGTTTATCTGTTTGAAATCTTGAGTCTTGTGAAAAATGCCAAACAAAAGTTACCTACCGCCTTTTTGCGGCGAAAATCAAGATAAAAATTCGGAGCTTTCCAAAAAAGCTTAATTGAAAAGAAAGTAGTCCATAAAATGCTGCGTGAATAAAGTAAAGTTTTATCTCAAGTTATTCTCGTTATTATTGAACATCCTACAGCTTAAACATTTTTGAGAAGAGAGCAAATGTTCAGCACTTGTTCGCTGCAAATGTGGGACCGAGCCTCTCGCTGGTTCTCGCAGATTTGCCAGAGACTCGGTGTACTTATGTACTCACATTTTTTCGCAGGTTTCTAAATATCGTGTAACTGTCTATGAAGTGCTGGTTATTAGCACACAATGACAACCAAATTTTTTACGGGTCCTGATATTTAATCAATTCAGATATCAGATTTGTGCCAAGCCAAATTTTTGCAAAATAACTCATGGTGTTTTGAGAAAGGAATTTTAGGGAAGAAGGCAACGTCTACTACAATTTGAATTTGTTTTTGGTAGTACAAGGAGATGGTCAAAATATGAATCAATAAATTCAAACGAGCTGCATACCATTAGATGCAGCATAAAACGCTGACTTCGAATCTGTATTCCGAATCTCTGCACCTATGTGGGCGAAGTCATGTGCCGTTAAAGGCCGTTATTTTGCTGAGGAATCGTGCATGCAAAGCGCAAAACTGGCGGTACAGAGCCATGTTTGGCTTAATGCTGGACCAAAAGTGCAGCTAAGTTACTTTGTATTCTCAAAGCCCAAAATGCAACGATGTGCTCAACTTCGCAACATTTACGTAGATTTCCAGTAAAACTGCTCACAGTTCACAAAGATACCATGCAGATATGGAATATGGATTCGAAATTAGCGTTGAATGCTGCATCTATGAGCTCAGAAATAGGTACTTTTTCCGTTATCTGCGCCCACTTTTCCTTCTTTCCTCAAACGAATATGATAAAAACTTTATAGGATAGAGAGTAAAACTTCGACCACGGTAAAAAATTGACATCTAATTTACATGTTTAACCGGTTCTAGCAAAAGTTAATATTTTTTTAGTTTTAGTTAAATTTTAAGGAGAGTATGTTAGATAGTTTAGTTAAAAAATTTAATATTTACTATTGAACTAATTGTTAAAGTTGACGAGATTTTTTATTTAATTCTACAGCAAAATTTTTAATTTTAGTCTACCCATCAATGTGACTTCAATCTGTTTTTTAATACAATATCCCATTCTTAGTCAACAACTTTATAAATCAGCTTTACCATTATGGAAATGGTATTTTGCGCTTAATAAACGCATTAGATATTGAAACAAAGAAATGGGCTGCTGTTGTATCATCTAGACGACGAAACAATCGGTAGCCAGGTACTTCAAGCGATCATTCATATTCTTTCCCGGCTAATTTCATGGCGAAAACAATGTGAAGAGAAGGATTACTTCGAATCATTGCTGAAAGCCAAGATGTCCTAATAAACGTTTGTAAGTGTTTTGATTTTATGGAAGACCCCTAAACAGCTTTCCGGCCATTTCAAATGCTCTCGCACTTCACTAGAAATGATTGTGAAAGCATGTCAAACCGGCCCCAAACGTATCAATTTTTATCTTGACATGTGGCAAGGAGACAGTCCATAAAAGACCTTTAAAAGAATTTTTTTAGTCTAAACCGTGTATTTCATGAAAACATTTTTGAAAAATGAGTCCTTAATACCAGGGTGTCCCAAAAAATATGCCTACTGTTTGACTGTTAATAACTGTCCCATAATGAAATCTTTCAAGAAGCTTTGAGTACCATTCTGCAGAGCTAGCTTCAACTTAGACTCACACATAGAGCGAATCAACGAGCGCTTTCCATCACTGTAGAATTACGGTAGACATTTCAAGTACATGGTTCTTTGTGAAAAAAGCTGCCTTTTCAAAATCTTTTCAAAGAACGTGAAAAATTGCGTAATGGAGTTTCTATATACGCTGAGTTTAATACTCAACCATGCACAAGATTGCAAAACCTTCTAAAGGGTATAACTGCACATTTTAGGAATAATGAAGAAACGGCCGCTACTACTTACCTCGCATAATTTTTTGATGAAACATTATGATTAGCTGCGAACTTCTCACCTATAATTAGCAACTCTAATTAGCCCAATGTGAAAGTTTTCAAATTGTTTTGCTCCTTTTCTGGAACAAAATATGCTTTCATGGTTCAAAACTCTCTTCAAAGTTCCTAACGTAATCCTACAGTGATGGAGAGCATTCGGTGATCCGCTCCATACTGCAAGTTTGAGTTGGAGCCAGCACTACATGATGGTACCCAAAGCTTCTCGAAAGACTTTATCACAAGAGAGTTATCAACAACCAAACAGTAGCACTTTTTTGTGACCCCCTGTATAACACTTTTTTAAAGCTTTGTTCAAAGTTTGCACCGTTTGATGATGAGCATTTCTGCAAACATTTCTGCAAATTTTGCTTTCATCACATTTTGCCTTCTATAGAGATTAACATCTTTTTAACATACCTTCGTCATGCTGAAATTTACTTCTAGAACTATCTGTTTTGTTCTTCGTTTGGACCTCTGGAAGACCAGACTAATTTTGAAAATTCACATATGTTTGGCTTTAAATTAGGTGGTACTCCCTAATTTTGAACCCCAACTAAAATAAGTACAGTTTTTGTCACCTGCAAGACTTTTCAAGCATGATGTAAATATACTCTTTTCTTGATATTGGGGAGATTTTTTCCAAATATCCTCAAACAAGGGATACATTTGAAGATCTGGCATTTTCGTCTTACCATTATAAGCTTGCGATCGCTTGAACAGTAGTCCTTGGATGAACACGTACATGAAAACACCTTCTCGCGTAAAATTTTGCAGCCGTCCTTCATCTTCAAAACAATTTCATTTAGACTGTAGTTGACAGCAATGAAGGATACAAAAAAAGTGATAAAAAAATACGAAAAGATTGATGTTCTAAGTTGCAGAAGCAACCGAGTATCCCTCTCTGGGAAGAGGAACGGTGTGAAAGAGGAGAGATGAGACACTTATTATTTGACTCAATGAAGAACACATTGCACACTGATGCAAGCTCTCATCCAAACTTATCTTATATATAAAGCTGAATGTCTGTTTGTCTGTCTGTATGTCTGTCTGTATGTCTGTATGTCTGTACGTATGTTCCGAATAGAAAATTCCATTTCTGAACCGATCGGGACCAAACTTGGCACACATACACTTCGGGCCCCGTCGGGTGTCATAGGCTACTTTTCGTCATCGATCGATATCGATTTTATCGATTTTTATCGATTTTTTTGCTGAGTTCACCTATGGGGCTGGGAGTTGGCACAGGGGGGTAATCGAGTATGCGGATTCCAAATACAATATTGGTTTTCAGGATTATCGATTACTTTTATCGATTTTATCGATTTTTTTGCAAAGTTTGAGCTACGGGGCTGGGAGTTGGCACAGGAGGGTAATCGAGCATGGGATTCCGAATACAATATTGGTTTTCAGAATTATCGATTACTTTTATCGATTTTTTTGCAAAGTTTGAGCTACGGGGCTGGGAGTTCGCACAGGGGGGTAATCGAGCATGGGGATTCCGAATCCTGGACGATCCTGAAAACTAATATTGTGTTCGTAATCAGCATGCTCGATTACCCCCCTGTGCAAAATCCCAGCCTCGCATGTCAAAATTTACAAAAAATCGATAAAATCAATAAAAGTAATCGATAACTCTGAAAACTAATATTGTATTCGGAATCCCCATGCTCACTGCTGTGCCAACTCCTAGCCCTGTAGGTGAACTCTGCAAAAAATCGATAAAAATCGGTAAAATCGACATCGATCGATAACGAAAAGTGAACTGTGACACCTGCCGGGGCCCGAAGTGTATGTGTGCCAAGTTTGGTCCGGATACGGCGGAACCGGGTAAGCCAGCTAGTAGTAATATAATAAAAATTTCAAAAGGCCCTTGTTAAATTTCGCCGCACGTGAATTTTTGCTGGTGAAAATACAATGCTACAAGAGCTGTAATTTTCAGTGCAAAATTGTGGCAAATGCACATAGATATTCTCATAGATTGGCAATTTTCAAACGCGAAAAGAAACAATCCTTCAAATGAAGCAAATAAGGCACTCGCCATACATCCATTTAATCCACTGTCCACATCATCCACTTCGCTATTGCTTGTATTTGTGAACTGACCAATAGCCAAGCGAATGAACAGGATCAAGCGTTGACGTGGAACATGTATGACGTGTGCTCAAACAGCATTGCTGAAAGCATCGCACTTCAGATCCTGTTGGATTTATTTCGTGAAAGTTGCTGAGACAGAAATTCACCCTTTTCAAACTCCATGGGGCACCCTCAGCATAGCTTCCTGAACGGCACCGACTGGTCATTGTAAAAGTGCAGTACGGAGCGTTTTGTAGAGTCTTCTAAAAGTAAAACTTTTAGTGCAGGCGTTGAGCGATTGAATGGACACTCTACACATTAGAGTACTGTTTGGTGTAATCGTTACTCTGCAGAAAGGTCTGAAGGGACTGGCGAACGAAGCGACTGCAAAACCTTCTAACACTCAGTGAGCAGGCCCAGTTGCTCTTATTTGAGCTGCGAAACAAGAAGTACAGAATGCTCTGCATTTTTGTCGCTTTTACAAGATGTTTTCCTAAAGCCTATTCATTTATAGCTTGAAAAACTTTGTGCGTAAACGGTGAAAGAACAAATCAAGTAAACGTTCGAAAATCAAATCAACGTCATATAGATAACGTACTGCGACATACGTTCTTGTCACACCTCTCTTTCATTTTAACTCAATCCATGATCTTGGAAAGTGTTCAGCCGTCCTGCCCATTAACATGAGCAGTGAATAGCCACGCATTTAGAACCAGGGCGACAGTAATGAGCTAAGGATTTGTGGTCCGCTTGTTTTCAAGATATAGCGTTAGGCCCTAGCTACCGACAAATGATAGAGGGAATTTCACCACGTTTGTTAGTAAAAAATAAGCTCTATTCAAACCAACCAAAGAAGAAACGGACTCAAAAAAACGATAGATCGCAGCAAAAGTGGCAACAAAAGGGACGCTGAGAAAACGCTCAAAGTCACAATTCTTACAATTCAATTGACTCGTAGGTAATAGACGTCTCTATAGGCGAAGACAATGTAGTGCACATGAATGCAATGAAGCACTCATGAGCAGATTCTCTGTTATGTGGTTATGTATAGAATTCAGGCATTGCCCCATTGTGGAGGACCCAATGTGCAACTACAACTGGCCTTTGAAAGGACTGCCAGGGGGCAAAAAGTGCGCCTCAACGACTCATGAGAAGAGCTTGAGATGCAACTCAAAGTCCATCAAGAATCGCTTGAGAGGAGAAGAGCTTTGTTCTAGGAAAAAAGACTCCGACTTTTTTCGACACAAAATGGATTGTATCGCAAAGATCTTTTATCTCATCCCCTTCCGGTCAGCAACGCCCTTGGCGATGCACGTTTTTCTGCTGAAAAACTACCACCACTGGTTTTGATTGCTAAGGTGCGCGCGCACTACAATTCAGATGAAGACACTGGACTATGAGACCAGACCACCTTCCTGTCGAACCTTCCCAAAACAGAGGGCACCGTCTAAACGTGCTTTTCGAATAGCCATCTTCATCATCTTTAAAAAAGCGAGATCCTCAACTAGTGGAGAACGTCAACGCCCGTCTTTCTTTTCAGGGTGCGAAAACTATTTTAGGAATCGCCGTTCGACTGCGTGTTAGTGTGGTGCACGAGCTTTTCACCAAGATTATCCTCGCTCGCATATCTAAAGCACTGGATGAAGCTCAATTCCAAGACAAGCTGGTTTTCGCAAAAGGTCCAGCTGCATGAACACTTCCATTCAATCTTGAATGTCGAAGTCTGTGTAGAATACCGATTGCTTCTCGTCCCAATCTTCGTCGACTACAGGAAAGCCTTTGAAAGCATCAAAACCAACGCTATCTTGGCCGCGTTAGATCAAAAAGTAAACCCAGATTATGACATAGGCCGAATGTTACAAAGATGCACAAGGATGATGCAGCTACTCCGTTGCCTCCTAACATCCCATTCGGGAATGGGATGCGACAAGACGACACAATTTTGCCAAGCTGTTCAACAAGGCCTTGCAGTGGATCAAAAAATCATGTGGCTGACGAGAGTGGCAAACAAGTGAAGTGACCTGTTAAATCTTTGATTTGCGGACGAAATCACTCTCTTCTTGAGAAGTACCACTGAAGCGAAGACGATGCTAAAGGAACTCAGTGAAGTAGGGAGCAAGGCAGGACTGGGAGGAAATTGGGAGAACATTCAATTTATGAGTAAGGCCTTGAGTAAAGATACGGAAATGAAATTTCTATATTTTCATACTGAGGAGACGTTATTTTACGTGTATCTTAAAGTTTGATGAACTTGGAGAGCTTAACGGGAAAGAAGAGTACATGCGTCTCTTTCGGGCCTCTGGAGGAAGCCAACGGCCAACTGACAGGCCCACAGCTTCGTGCCTAGTTGTTAAACCCTCTCTTGGCGCTCTGTTATGCAGCTGAGACGTGGCAGGTACTACAGTCACGTCGGAGGCTCTACGGACTACCCACAGAGCCTTGAGCAAAGGCTTCTAAAGAATCAACACAAGTAAGGGTTGGGTCAGACTGCGCGGCGTACGCTGCGCACGTTCATATGATGAAAGATACCGAGCGTACGTACGCTCGTACGCCGCGCACTCTGGCTCAACCCTAACATCTCGCCGAACTTTGCAATACGAATGCAAATAAGGGGAGAGGGGACACTCACGGTGCATTTTCGATAGCAGAGATGAGCAAAGCAGCTATTGATGCAAAGGGGGAAGAGAAGCAGAACCGAACGAAGAGCAAAATCTGTTCCTGCAGTTCTACAGAATTTGTCTCATTTGAACATTGATGTCTTAAAGGCAGTGGACAGGCAGAATGGACCCCTGCCAGATTTTGGTAGTTTCGGGTAGTAGACCACCCAGGTACATCATAGCCCCAAGCCCACCTTCCAATTCATGCGCTAAGTCTTGAAAAAGCGCTTCGAAATTCCACCAATAACGCCCACTCAATGGAAGTGGGCGGGGCTGGTGGAGTTTTGAAGCGCTTTTTCCGAGACTTAGCGCATGAATTGGAAGGCGGGCTTGGGGCTATGATGTACTTGGGGGGTCTACTACCCGAAACTACCAAAACCTGGCAGGGGTCCATTCTGCCTGTCCACTGCCTTTAAGCGGGACCAGACACTCCAGCTAGTACCTTATGTAACACTTGTATACCACACAAGCGCACCAACAGAGTATCGGTATTTAGAGACATGATAGTGAAGAAGGGTGAGACATTTTTTGTGTTGTGCGAATTGCCTGAGATAACGACGACTTTCTTTTTTCTCAAACATTCCTCCTCCTTTCCTTCTCCGCTTATTCGATCTCTTCGCGAGGGTGTCAATTTTTTCCGAACCATTAACTGCATCGTTTTTTTTCTGCGGGGGGTTATGCGCGTTTAGATATAGCAGTAACCAAACAACGCTTTTTTTATAGCAGAGCGTCAAAAAAATTCTGGGAGTAGAATATCGTCGCGTCAGTGCAGCGATGACAGTTACGCGCCAGAAAATCTTTGTCTACTTACTCTAGATAGCATATGTTCTGATGAATAAGTGTAACATTTCAAGGAGACGGCGATATGGATATGTGCCAACAGGATTATCAGTCCTTAAGCATATAGATAAATCAACGGCTCTTGTAAAGTCTCTTACTCAAATCCTCTAATTAGAGGACGAGAGTGTGAAAAAGTTGATCTCTTGCAGAAACATTGACACACCGTACATCACCATGTGGGGGAGAAGCTCAAATGAAACAAACAGACCAAGTTGCAATTCTATAGACATATCAACCAAATCAAACTTTTATCTCTTTATCATTCATGCTTGCCTTCTCAGGTGCGGTTGAAATACTCAGCTCATCATAGTCTGCTCGTGAAAAAATTATAACTCATTTTTATCTTCCAAAAAAGAGCTAGTTCGACAATCACAAGCATAAGCTCATCAAAGAAAGAATCTACATAGAACGCAGAGAATCCCGTATGTATGATAACAAAGCTGATAACAAGGCAACAGGAACGAAGAAAAATTGGGCTGTGGTTACTCCAGGGAGAGTTTAGACGACACCTTCGACACAGCGCATATATTATATCATGGTGTTCTGTGGGATCAAACTTCTCGAAATATTTACGTCCCGAATGATGTCAGCACAAGCATTTTGAAAACATTGTCAGCAAAGATTTGCGTTGTTGAAACAGCAGAAAAATATGCCTGAAGCAGAAATCTGGGCAACATAAAGAGTTTCTTTTTCTTCTTGTATACAATCATCGCATAGTTTTTCGTTTTTCTCAATTGCTTCTTCCACCCGTGCGAATTCGTTTGATTCGTTCCAGACCGATACACTGGATTATACTGAAAGAGATGTTCGAAATCAATAGCTGATCCGCCTCTCATACCCAGACTTTTCCACAAGGCATTTACCTATTAGTGATTCCTGGCATTAGCAGACTGCTATAGCAAAGCAAGAGAATAGAAGCCTTTTGGCTTAACCAACATTCTGCTATTCGATTCGCTGCCGCCAACAAAATCAACTGAGCACATCTTGCTGTTGACATGTGGGCAGGAGTAGGCTCAGTGAGCACTTCGCCACTCGCCTAAAATATGAAGAAAAATGCTGGCGCTCTTAGTTTCACATTCTTTTTATTTATTTTTCCTTGAAGGCAGCGTCCAGGCATACCTAGAGACATAGGCTCTCACGTGGATAGTAATCTTGGGGACCTGACTAAGCTGTCTTAGTTAGGGCCCCAAGATTACTATCCAAGTGAGAGCCTATGTGTCTAATGTATCTAAGCGGCAGCTCAGGTAGTGCCCTAACGGCTGAGATATTCGTCTCAAAACTGGACCCCGGGCTCGTATTTTGCATGGATTCATGGCGCAACTCATGGGTCCTCGCGCGAATTTGATGGTTTGCGCCACGAATCCATGCGAAACACGATCCCAGGATCCAGGTTCAAGGCGGATATCTCAGCCGTTAATGCATACCTCAGCTGCCGGGTGGGCAGTGGCTTAGTTAGGGCCCTAAGATTACTATCCACTTGAGAGTCCCCGTAGTCCAGATTTGCCTGGACGCTGTCTTTAAGGCCATTTATGAGAAACTGTACTACTATTCTTGTCTTTTTTTTTTGTTGAAAACTGCCTCGATGACGCTAAAATTTCGTGATTTTGCAAAGATATGCCTTTTATGTAGAATCAAATGAAGTTACAGCCAACAGCACAAATCATCAAGTACTGAGTAAGACAGTGAATGATCTAAGACTTAAGCACTCACAATACCTTTTCGACGAAATTTGCAAAGCTACCGAGCCTCTTATTAAAGCAAAAAAGAAAACCATTGATTTATGAGGGCTCTAAAAGAAAAAATAAGGGAAGAATATTGAGCGGAAGCGTGGGATTACTGAGCTTCGATAAATGAGATTTTACTTGACCCGTCAAAGAAAAACTAACAACGGAGAAACAAAAAGTTTGATGAACCCTCAAGTGGTTAACTTAACTGATAGGATGATAAAATAGTAAAATAAGAATTTTTCAAATAACAAACATTCAAGATGTTGTTGTCTCCACAATAAGATGCAGAATTATCACATAAATGGAGTTCTTTGTCAGCAACAATATATGGTTTAAGTGATTGTGGCTGAGTCTTTGATGAGATTATTCTCCTAAGCAATAAGAATCCTAGACCGTGGATTTGTTCTCTTACTTCATAAGATCTTCTTACTAGAAAAATGTTACCTAAAATGTGAGGTGTGCTTTGAGAGAATGTCTCATGCAACTTGGTTCTCTTCCCTTTTCGATGAAAACTAGGGACATCGCATATACAAGCACAACCCAGTTATTATTCAAAACATGAGATTTCCTTTGCATTTGTGCGGTCGTGAAAAGAAAATTACACATTTCTCATCCACGGCAGAAAAACGTTGAGTATAACAACATATCTGTAAAACATGTGATCCTCACCCTGTTTATGTCGTCAGAAAACGCATTCAGCACATTATTCGGAGCAAATGTCAATGATGGGCAAACAATGGACACCTCAATACCTTTTGCAGCGTATTCAACTGTCAGCACCCGGAAATATCCCTGAAAATTATAAAATTCATTACAATCTGATTTCAATATAGTCCTTACCATCAAAGCATGCTTGGCTGCTGAATACGATGGTGATAATATGGCTCCGATAATGCCAGCAACACTACTCACTACAACAAAATGAGTAGATGGTAGGATTCCTGAAAAGAATAACGCATTCTTTAGAGTTGACGCATAAGTTTTGCAACAAAAAATTATTTTTTTATTATTCATTAATGTATCAGATATTGAATTATAGATTTGCAAACTTTTTAAAACTTGTCTTGTATGGTTATTGTTCATAAACTAAATCAAATGATGTGTACTGTGAATAGAAACCGAATAAAATTTAGAGGTTGAATGAAAATAGTCGAATAGTAAAAACTTTTTCCACAAACAATCGAACAACATGACTTTTTTTCTAGGGTAAAAAATAGGATTAGTCCAAAAACACAACTAGAACTAGATTTTAAGACAAGTTTTCGCAATTTTAGCAGCCAAATTTAGAGAACCATTTCTGAGAGTTTTTCTAGATTAGCTTGTATCGTGCCAACGAGAATTTTTGCTTGAGGAACTTCCGAACAGGGCTAAATTTCTGCTGCTTAAGTATCAGACAGATTGATTTCATCAAAGTTCGAGAAAACCAAAGAATGCAGGAATTTTGGTGCAAAAAACATTTCATACCATTTGGATCCGCATCCAAAGTTTTCATGTACTCTCGCGCAAGTACCGTTGGTCCCAGAGCATTTACACGGAAGCAAGCTTCATCGACTTTAGAATCAACAGCAATCCATTCAGCACGTTGTGATTGGCCACAGCAGAGGATGATCACATCAATCTGAAGTGTAAATGAAGCAATGAGTTAGGTTGAGGCGTCGTCCACCCAAACTGAAAGTGGTGAAGTTTTCAGGCTGTTTAGAAGACTAAGTAGCCCAAGCCCCGCCGCAAATGATGATTTCTGAAGCGAGAAAATCGCTCCGGAATGTGGATGCTACTGAGGAAGCCACGCCCAACGGATGGTCTTAAAGAAGTAGTACATGGCAATGCCGAAAAATGTCCTACATTGTGGAATATACATTTTCGACAATCAGATATACTGGATTCCACCTTTCGCCTCATTTAACCACTCATGTTGGTGGGCGTGACGACCCCAGCAGCAACCTCTTCCTGAAGAGAGTTTTCTCATTAGGAATACACCTTTACTTAGCGGGACTTCGGCAATTACTTAGGGCCTCGCTATTGTAAAGCATCAAAATCATGACAGCCTTAGATTTGGGTCGACAGTGCCTTAAATTGATTTTTTTCGAGCTCACCTTTCCAAAGAACATTTTCACTTTCTTGCAACATTCAGCAACTTGTTTGAAATTAGTCACATCCAGTGGGAACACGATGGAAGTTTGCATAGAAAGTTTTTCTGAAAAATAAATATTGGATACACAGTTGTTCAGGTCATATTTCAATGCTTACCATCACATTTTACCTTCAAATCGTCCAGCTTTTCTTTTCTGCGCGCGGATAATATAAGCCTACATTCAAGCTGTGACAGGCGCAAAGCTATTTCTTCTCCGATGCCACTGCTGCAGCCAACAATCCATACGGTTTTTCCGCGGAAATAGGTCTCTGAAATAATACATTGGTTTTTGCAATGAATTTGTAATGAAGATGAGGTCGCGCACTCTCGAGGTTAGAGAAGCAAAGAGTCACTCTGCGTCTCTATCCCAAGCCTCAAATCTCCTCACCTTCTGTGGGTCCAAGTTTTGACCAAAACCATAGATTGAACGTACTTTCAGAGGTTTTAAAAAACAGAATCAGGATTATCACAGCACAAATGAATAGGATCAAGTACATTCCCTAAAAGCGTACGAAAATTCTTGAATGAATTTGCGTGACTGAGAAGGGCTTCGAGAAAACGAAAACGCCCTTTCCGCGAAAATGTTAGTTGCATCTGCACAGCTGAAATGAATCGAATTTTTCCACTGCGAATGTAAAGTCGGCTAAAGAAATGGTGAAGGGAGGAGATCCTGCACAGATGCTTGCATGTGTGCTGACAGACGAATTGTGCTATAGAAGATCTATTGCTATGGCGTCTGAAGTTGTAAAGTGAGAAAAAAAATTTGGGAAGTTAAAGCCGAACGAGGCTGGTGATTTATCTAATCAATAATTGAACTTTTTTCAGAAGATATATGGAGGATGCAAACATTTGGAATGAAGAAGTACTTATAAAGGCATTGGGAGTAGATAGTCAACTCTCAGATGATCATGCGCAGCTGGTATTACACTATAAAACTGATTGGAAAACTTGTATGTTAAGAGCGAAAACAATTTCAAGTTGAGGAGCCTTCCAGGAGTCTGGACAAATCAGGAGCGTTATTTGGACAAAACCCACAAATTGGAGATTCACAAATTTCTGGTCTAGGTTACTACTCGTGGTAAAGTCGAAATTTTTACAAAAAATGATAATTCAAAATTATTACTTGCAACTATGCGATGATTACGGCGAAGTCTGCAATACTATGGGCTGTTAAATAGTAAGTTCAGCTTTTGCTAGCTTACTGGAAGCGTTTAAGAAGGAATTTCAGTTAAAATCCGTCGAGAAAAAATTTGTTTCTGGCTGTAAACAGAGAAAAAACAGTGTAAAGAGTCACTTTTAGAACATCACTTTTACTGATTATATTTGCGAAAGTAATAGCAACTGCATATCAAGAGAATAAGCACGAAATAAGAAAGCATAGTTCATTCTTGAAAGTGAGAGGTCCAAGAAAAATGAAGTAGAGGGGTCAAAGGAGGAGTCAAGTCAAAACATAAAAACTATACGGATCAGATTTCATTATCTGAAGAGAATTAACAGCTGTTAAATGATCGTTGATAAAGCTCTTAGTAGTGTACATGACAGATTCAACTGAAGACTTTTCTAGATCTGCCTTTGATTTTTTACAGAATTAAAGTGAATGCGATATGTCAGCTCATCTTATGTAAGTACAAGAAACTTTTTTTTTTCAAAATTTTCAAACTTTTTTCAAAAGTTTGAAAATTTTGAAAAAAGGCAGTACGAAATGTCTAATCAAAAACTATATTAATCTCATGACCATAGCGTGCAAGAGAAATAAGCTTTGGGGTTCTTCTGTTCTTAAAGTCTGAAGAGTAAGGAGACAGGGAGAAAATGAAATTCTTGTTCGGTTTAAAAAACCTCTTATTCAAGATGAGTGATACTAGAAATTTGATCAGCTTGAATGGCTTAAGACCATAAGCTTGGTATCTCAAGGCAAACATCCGTAGAGAATGAAAATAGCACGAAAATCACTGAAGGATAGTCTAGCAAGAAAATAACATACATACCTTCTGCAAATATCAAAATGCTGTCAATAAAACGTCCTCTCGAATCGTGTCAATAGTGCTATCGATGCAGATTGTGGAACGGGGTGTCGAATGATAATTCAGCAAGGTCATAGCGATTATTGATCAATTAAGAAGTCACTGCGAATTACATCAAAAGTTTTGATACTTGTTGAGAATGTTATTTACTTTGTTCGCTGTCATTAAAAATGAGATTATAAGATTATGCAGTATGGACATACAGTCCTTACATAAAACAAGGAAAACCAAATTTTTTTTGCAGTAAAATGTGGTTATGATTGAAGGTTCTAAAGAAAAACTCATGAAAAACTCATGTCTCAAAAAATCAAATGGAACAAAAAATCTACAGTAGCCTCTATTTCTTTTTTCGCGGTAATGGTTGCAAATTCGCGTTGCTGAAGCTGGTATAAAGCTCGACAAGGTTCAGAATAAACAACAACGAGGAAAAGAAGTAGAGTCACGCAATTCTGCACACTCATTTTTCGAAAAAGAGAGGCTACGGACACCAGTAATTGCTAGAAAGTGCAGATGTGCCCTGCCTTGTTTATACTAGAGCTTACGTCTGTTGTTGCTCACATCAGCAAAAGTGCAAGCGATTACTCACTCTATTTTACCTACAGACTATCGCAATTCTTTGTCCGTCGCTTGCTCGTCTTACAATAAGAATTTTGGAAATGAAGAACGCTAGGGACTTCACAAAAAACATTAACAATATATAAAAACATTAATAAAGGGTCATTGATTTTTTGGATTGTACCGCTTAGCGTTCATTACCAGGGCTCGGCTCCAGATGGCTAGTTGAAAATGCAAAAAACGAAGTCTCCCTTGACTTTCCTCAAATTTTACAAGTTCCCCTTTGACCCTAGACCATAATCCCTAAAAAAATTTGCAAAAAAGTTATAAGCCACCTGTGCCGAGCCCTGCTCATTACAAGCTGTTTGCTTTTGCTTTAAGTAACCACGTTTGTTTTTTCGCCTCATCGATGAATAAAATATGATGCAATACTAGAAAATAAATGATGCAATGCAAAAAATCTGACGGGCTATACTAGAGCGATCTCTAAGATATATAGAATAAAACTTCAAACTTTCTCATTTTTTGTTAGAACCAAAAAAGGGGACGATTTATGGCATCGTGGGAGCGAAAACGAAGGCCATAAATAAATGGCGAAAGCAATTAAAGGATTAGGAGAGAAATATTTACATCTGCGTTCGCACGTTTATAGGGGATCATTAAAAAATGTTAGTTTAGAAATAAAAGCAGGGCTTGTGAGAAAGGAGAAGACATGTTATCGCTTGAGGAGAGAAGAAATGAGGGACATAAATGTCGGAAGCGATTTAAAGGTCTAGGGGAGTAACATTTACAACTGAAGTTATAATTATTGAGGGGGGGGGGGGAATTTTGAAACGTTCTCAAATCTCAGGAATTGTGACTCTAGATTTGACTCTGCTTCTCGAAAAAGAAAGTATTGGAATCTGAACTTCAGCCAATGACTAAACAATAAGATGGCTGGGAAAGTCTGAAAGTCAAATGGAAAAGTGATGGAAAATTCCGGAGTGTAATTGATTCCTACAAGTAATTCGAATGCCTGATCCAATTACACGCTTCAGCGTCATGAGAGAATTTTCACTCAAAAACCCGAAAATGGTGTGCAAACCATGAAAGGCAATACTCTCTAGGGACAATATTTCCTATCTCTAAGAGCTCTGCATTTCCAACGAAATTCTGGGTTTTTCCAAACAGATAAACAAATTCAATAAGAGTGATAGCGGTCGTTCGACAAAGTGAAATGTAAACGTTACGAGAGATAGGATTACACCGCAGTGAGTGTTTTTACAGAGAGTTAGAGTCATCAGCGAAGAGAATCGGAACAGATACGTACTTTCTACGAAAAACCGGATTTTTGCCGCGAAGAGTTTGCGGTTTGCGGTTGACATAACAATGATCGTTAAAACTATGAAATGCCATGTTTTTCTGTTCTTTTTTCTGCGGCATCGTTGACTTTGCCCGAGCGTGCGATGCGGCTGAATGAAAATCCAGCAGAAAAGTCAGGAATGTGGCTGACAATTTCCGTGCAATAGGGGCCAGCAATCGATACTCGCAGACGGACTTGCTGCTCTGGCAAAACAGCTGCAGATAACAAAACAACTTCGAAAAACATGAAGAAAGCGCTTGGAAGTTTGATTTGCGAGCCTTGGGCCGGAAAAAATGGCGCTCTAGAGAAATTTTATATTTTCGAAGTGTATCAATTTTTTTTGTGGGTGAATCCCAAAAATATTATGAGAAAATTTATATATAAAAATATATGCACATCTAGTCTTAGGATGCGGAGTAAGTAGCGGACTCGGCGGATTCTAAATAGTGTGCTAGTTGCGCAATCCAGTTCCGGTGGAGGAAGGCCTTATAAGCATCTTATGGCAGCAAGGAACCACAGCAGCGTGGCGCAGTGGAAGCGTGCTGGGCCCATAACCCAGAGGTCGGTGGATCGAAACCACTCGCTGCTAGCTTTTTTGCATTCTCCTTATTTCTCTATAGTTTCACTGACGCTTATGACCTCATTGCCGTTGTTTTCATTTATGGCTTTGGTTACCTTCGTATTGGACTACCAATAATTTGTATGATCATTTTTCCAAATTTTTTTCAAACAAATCTAGAAATATACAAAATTGATATGATAAGCTTTGCTAGTACAGTAATATCATTAAGTAGTCGTCTATTTATGTTTTGTCTTTGGAGACCAAAATTTATTTGTATCAAATGCAATCTGATACATATGTTTCCATTTCGATGTTGCCGCATTCTTATCATCTGACACATTCATGTAAAAATCATGCATAAATTAATAATTGATGACAGGCGTCCATTCGTGGAATAGCCTTGTAGAAAGAATACATGAGATTTGTTTGGTGTTGCGAAACAGCAATCCACTAAGTGGATGAACTAACTTTTGGATTCAAGTCAGGCTGGAGGGAACCATGGAGTTGAGTTAAATTGTCAAGAACTTACGTAAAAACGATTTAATTTTGTGAAAGTGTTGTTTGAAAAGAAACATTTTTTAAATGGGCACTCCCTCTTTCCGAATCCAAGATATTATAGGATCGGATGCTGCTTTGTAAATCTGATGGCAAAAGGTGCTGTATGGTTTTTGTCTCACATTAAGAGAGACTTCCTAAATATTTTTGATAAATTTCTGATTTCTTTCCATTATTTTTCTTTGACTTCCTCTCAAAATAATTTGGTGTTGCTCTAGAGAGTAATAAGCTGGAGAAACCAGAACCAATCGAAAAGGAACGTGAAATTTGAGAGAATGAGTTAACGAATTTTGAGAGAATGAGGTGCGGAAATTGAAGAAAATTGAAAACGTGGAATTGGATTTGCCATTTGATGAACGTTCTAAGAATCACAAAAATATACCTCTAAGTTTGAACGATAAAGATTTTCCAGAGAGTGGCACTTATACAACACTTTTTCTTTGAGCAAATATTAGGTTTTCCTGAAAGTTCT